TCGAAGCTGTCTCGCAGATTCCTGAAGTCTTGGTTTCTCGAAGGTACGTAGAAGCTTCGTCGAACCCCTCTTGGTTTCTCGAAGGTACGTAGAAGCTTCGTCGAAGTCCGCTTCTGAACTGAAACCCCGCCCAGGTCCGCCAACGATTCTAAGAAGTACTCTTCCCTGCTCTCTCCGGGAAGCAGTTCGGCTGACTCCCGGGACTGAGGTCAGGACAGCCGGCACGGAAGCCGAACCTGCGCCGAAGCTGCGCCGAGGCTTCGCGGCAGTGTTCGCGGACAGCTTCGTGAAAGCTTGCTTTTGCCTTCGCGAGAAGCCTTGTCCTGCGTATAGCTTGTTTTATTATATCAAGCATCACCCAGTCGACGCACTCAGAGACTCATGCCCTTATCATCCTTAGATTCTGCAATATTCAAAGTATCGACATAGGAGAATTCCGGATTCCAAGTTTGTGGATTTCTTCCGAGCTGTGCTGCATTTTGCAAGGGTGAAGGGAAACTCTTGCTTGTCCTGGATAGATTGAGACTGCTTTGCTCATCAATGTCATGGCCTCCGCTCGGCCGCCAAACCCGTTGCACGATCGGGGTTGCTTGGAAGTGCCTCATGACGAGGTGCTCCATCTGTTTACTGTCACTGATTTTGCCGGTCAGCAGAAGTGGATCCTTCGAAACTTGAAAACCGGAGAGGTCTTTGTGCGAGCCACACAGACAAGTCTTCACTTTACTGCTGACAAGATGGGCTATCTCGCTGGCGGGGAGACAGTCTGGTGCAGTTCCGTTTTGCGATGGTCCGTTTGGCGGACAGGAGATCGAGAATTTGCTGCCCGGTTTCATGACGATGGGGCAGAGCTTCAGTGGATAGAATCCTTTCAAGACATGCGGGAGCTGACCCGTGTCGACCAGGACCGATTGCTTAGAACCGGGCATTGTTTCTTTAGTTAAAGAGTTGGGTGAACCTCTGTGGTTGGCTTGAGTTTCGCATTGGGAGGTGCTTCCGTCTTGGAAGCCCGGGGAGTTCTTGGACACATGGGCCGTTCGTTTCGCCCATCCTGTGCAAGGCAGCTGTCAGCAGATCTTCTGGTCATTAGAAAGCTTCCTTCTGCCGTCTCTGGAGAAAACAACTGATGTGGGGACCTATGTTTTGAAAAAAATGAAATCCAGCTGGCTGAAGATGTTCGCGAGCAAGTGTGCAGAAGCAGAGACGCATGTCATATGGCCCGAAGGCTGTGAGAAAGAGCGAGCAGTTCCACTCCGACTGCACCAGGTGTTCGTCAGCACTGTTTTTGTGCTGGAGTTCCTGCTCAATCAGGAACTCAAAGGAGCTGCCAAGGTGAAGGGTCATGCCAAAGAGTTGCTCAGAAACTTGTTGCAACTGTTCTGCAGAGGGACGTGGGTGTTGCCTGTCAATCCCACTGCTCGCACGGTGGCCGACATTCCTGCGGAAGGCGTCTTGCAACTTCAGGTGGCGGATGGAGAAGTCCAGCTGGGGACGATTTCCGAGGAGGATGCTTTTAAACGTCGAATGGCGGAAGAACATGCGACGAGGCCGCTTTGCCATCCCGCCCCCTGAAAGTTAAGAGTTCGGATGTGGGATCAAAAAGAGGTGTTGCTTGGCCTGAGACTGAGGCTCCAAGCATATAAGCTTTGGTCGCGAGATGAAACATTAAATAGGTCGGCTTCAGAGATTTATGGCTCAGACGGGTTCCTTTTGAATTTTGCATTTCTTGGAGTCCAGCCCTGGGAGGCGCAAGCAGTACTTACCCTCCACGCTGCGTGGATCTATGCATGTACACGATCTGCTCGTTGGGCTGCATCGCACCGATCACCTTTCGTGGTTGGAGTGCCAGGTGGTGCACGGCATTGCAGATCAAGCTTGCAAAGCCTTTTTGGCCAGCGAACTTGCGGGGAAGGCCGACTCACATGAGCTTCGCTTCACACACAACAGAAAGAAGAACCCTGCAGAGCGTCATCGAGCCGTGGCAATGGCATGGGCCCGGGCATCCAAGAAGGAGAAGAACAGCGAGAAAATGAGCTCGAAGGCCCGCGCGGCCATTAAAGCAGCGGCTGCCCGAGCGAAAACTTGGTTGTCATCTCGCGACAAGAGATGCGAACGTGGGGCATACTTTGTCGCTGCTCGAAGAGGCCTGGGCGGATGCAAACGACTCTGCGTGTCGCTGGATGCAAGTCGCGGAGGCGGCCGGAAGCGGAGCCATTTCGCCATGCTGGATTTAGAGTCCGGCGTGGCGTGCTGGGGCCCGCCTCAGGCTCGGTTGGTTGCGATTTTGGTTTACTTCAGTCATGAGCAGGAGTTCATTATGGCTTTCAGATAGACTCTAATCTCAGTCGCTCGGAAGGTCAGTGTCGGGAACGGGTCTCAGTTCGTGCTATCAGCTTGGGCCTTCAGCTAGAGGACGGGACAAGCAGAGTAGAGGACGGGACACGCGAGTTGGATATAGAATACAAGCTGGCCCTGTCCAGACACATGCCGACTCCGAGTACAGACAAGCTGGCACGCATGCCGCGCCTGTGGAAGCTGGACTCTTCGAGCAGGCCACAGTGCAGTTTCTTCGAGCCTTGGCGGCTCCTTTGTCACTAGATGTGCGAGATCATTCTGATGACGTGTGTGTGTGTGTGTCTCGCTGCGAGACTGGATACTGAGACCATTGTCCCACAGTAGACCGCCTAGAGCGAAACACTAGAGTGATTGGAGTAATGAGTCACGGTCACGCCAGGAATGCAGCGAAAGCGGGAGACGGAAGAGACAGAGAAGCAGAAGAAAGTCAAGAACCCGTTGCTGCAGGTGAGCAAACAGCGCCTGCCGACATACGCAGCCCTGCTGTCCCTGGATCACGTGATAGATGCTATCACGGGTGGAGGTCTCCAAAAGTTTGTAGTGGCCGCAGAGGATGCAGACAAGTCTTTGGCCGATCGGAGTGTTCTTGTCATGCAGTCCGACCAAGGTCCGGACATGAACGCTGCTAAAGAGTTTGCACTGCGACATCTTCAGCTGAGGTTGATTTTCGTGCCCGACATACGGCATCAGTTGATCCGAGAACAAGAGAATGCATGTAAGCTGGCCAAGCTGAGCAGTACCTTAGCCCTGACCGACCTAGTCTTCACATTCCTCTCCGGCCCTTGGTCTGAGTGCCGGTGGTTTCAACTGGTCAAAGAGGAAGCGGATGAGTACTTGAGCTTGACAGACTTTTCGCCTTCCTCGACCTCCTGCACCACCCTCATCAGGCATCTGCTGCCACGAATTCGCGCAGAGAAGAATTGGGAGACCAGTGCAGATGTTCAAGACGTCCGAGCGGCCTTAGCCTCGGCTTCCTTCCTTCGGCGAAAAGGTACCACAAACACCTCTCGGTGGGACTCGTTTCACGAGTCTTTTCGCAGCCGCAAAGGCGAATGGGGGCTACTTTTGCTTGTCCTTCTGTCATACGGACTTCGCCTCGGGTACATCTTGAATCCGAAGCAGGCAACCTTGAGTGAGGACATCAGCCAAGTGCTGCCCAAAGCGGAGGAAGCAGCATCGGGCCAGGCAGAGGTGGCAGATAAATCTCTTAAACAGGCAAAGCAGAAGAAGGATGCGCTGTTTCAGCGTTGCAGGAATAAGCTTCACTGTTGCACAGTACTGTTGGGCAGTATGGAGTTTTGCCGGGACATGACAGTTTGGTATTTGGCCACGGAAGCGCTGTCTGCCGAGCTCAACCACGTCCGCAAGAACGTTCACGGTCGCAACGCAACCCGTGAGCTCATGGTTGGACTGGCGTGCGGAACTTCGCCTAAGGTTGGCTTGGATGTCATCGCAGAGCTCTTACAAGTACCTCACAATGCAGAAGGCCTGCGTCAGCTTCATGTTTTGTTGCAGGATGATGTAGTTGGAGCGGTCAATGTGAAGCAGATTGCTCGAGAGCTCCAGCATCCTTCGGTCATGTGGCAAGACTCGATCGTTCAACAACTTACAGATACCGTCCTTTGTGCTTGCCGATTCAAGCTGATGAACCTGTCTCAACACATGTTCTGTTTCCCGCTGCGCTTTGCTGCGTTAATCTCCGAGAAGCAGGAAGACGTCAACCGATGTCTGAAGGAATGTGTGACATTGTCTGAGAGCTGGGATGCGGCTCGTCATGCTGCGACTGACAGCAAGGCATGGAATGCTGTCTGCAGTAGATCGCCGATGCAGACTGTCGTGACAAGAGAGATTTTTGAGGCCTTGAAGGCATCCAACTTCGCGAGCGTGCCTCCGGACGTGCATCGGTTTTTGCACGATGTGATGGGCATGTTCTCATCAACTTACAATGAAGAAGCATTCGGCGAGATGAGGGGCCTGGAGTCCAGAGAGAACAAGTCCCATGCCATGCCGAACGCAGACATCTGGCAGTCTGCGAGCCACTCAGGTGTCCTGCGTCGCTTCGGGTATCGCGAAGTGGCTGTCGACGACTCACAAGAAGATCCAAGGCTGCCAGAAAGTCTGTATCACACCAAGGGCCTGGAACCAACGGTGGAGAACTTGAAACATGTGTGCAAAAGACAGACTTGGACGAGCCTTGCGCCGCACATGCAGGCGATGCTTCCTTCGGAGCTGATGATGACGAAAGACCTCTACACGAGGAAACTTCTCGGTCAGGTTTCAGCAGCCTGGCGCACCAACTTCCTGATCAGAGGGCTCATCGTGAGACAGAAATCAGGCTGCAAGGACACTTTCCTGTCCCTCGGGGCATGGCCCAAGGGCTGCACGAGTTGCTTGATTCCTATGTGCCGCGTAGAGCTGACTAAAAACGTGTACTCTTACACCGTCAAGCAGCCGCTCACGCGGGAATCATTGTACTGGGCGACGATCATCGACTTCAAGCACTGGGAATGCGCGCAGGTGAAAGTCGCCAGTCCATTGCATTTTGGCATCAGGGCTGCTGCGGCTTCAAAGAGCGCTTCTTTGGTGATCCCGCCTGTGTCGGCGATGCCTTGGTTGGAAACTGGAAAGGCGTTCGTCCCGCTCCTGCAGCACCTGGCCCAGAACGCTTTCTTCGACATGGAGGCCAGCATCTTGGAGATCTTGTACCAGGACTTGCGTCGCCAAAAGAAGTTTTCACTGCACGTCTTTCTCATTATTACGTGATTTTTCTGTTGTTCGAGGCTGTAGAAGCGCGTAGATTGTAGAAGATTCATGCAGAAACTGGAATTTTCCTTTTCCGCGCAAGGAAGAGTTCGGCAAGAACATCGATGCGTGTACCGATGACGATTACTTGGGTGAGATCTTGGCTCCCTGTGTGCAGGAGGCTTTAGGAACCAACTCTGCTGAAACCGCCGAGATTCTGGAGAATAATTTGTTCCACCGGGAAGACATGGACACAGACTTCGCAGAGATGATCAATTCGGACGAGATGCGTGAGCAGCCTCTGTCCAAGGAGGATGCAAAGTTGTTGGAGGAGTCGGAGAAGACAGCTGCCGTGCGGAAGGCTCGAGCTGCCAGCGTGACGCGAGCAATCCGAAAACTTAGAGGGGGCCCGAGCTCCGAGCAGCCCAAAACCAAACGAAAGCCTGTCCATTTCATGCCAGACAAGCAACTCAGCGAGGAGGACGTCCGGCCAAAGCTGCCAAATGGCTACAGGGTGTATCGGGATATGTTTAACAAAGCCTGGAGAATATATCACCGGAGCGGCTTTTCAGTCTCGAGAAGCTGGGGCAAGCATGGAGGCGATGCCACATGCGTTCGCAAATGTTTGGTGAAAGTGTGGCAGCGACACTTGTTCATGAACCCGCGGGAGTCTTGCCCGTATGATTTCGGGGAGTGAGTGAGTTCTCGGGGCGGACAGTCGGCGTCGGGTGGGTAGCTGAAGGTCTGCGCAGAATGATTGCAAGCAGCTTAAGAGGCTTATTCAGCTTAATTAACAACCGTCAGATAAACTAGTAAGCTCTTGCGCAGCCAGCTTGTCACCTGGATTCCTGGATGTCACCTGGATGCGGTGTTCACAGGCAGAGTTCACGCCCGTCTCGCAGCAGAAAGACTCATGACAGAACATGCTGAGTTTGCAGAATCTAACCATTAATCCCCGTGCGACTGCAAGCAAGCCTAAGCCGTGTGCTTCCTCGTCCCAAGCCCTCTATTGCACTATTTATCCTGATCCATTCAATTGTGTCAACGCTAATCTCCCACAGACAAGCAGCGAGCCGCTGGGTTTGGCTTAGGGTTGCGATTCAAGTGTACGTTTCACGACTGTCAATATTGTGTTTGACAAGTTCCAAGGCAATCGAGGAGGATTTTGAGGGACGTAAGACTTTGCCATTTGCATCGATCTTCCCAAAATTTGGATTCCCAGACGTAAATACGTAATGTAGGGGGTTCTTTGCTGCTCGCACTCCTTCCAAAGCAGGGTATGGCCTTGAAGTCAACCGGGCGTTTATCCCCTACCAAAGTCACAAGACTGTCAGGATCATTGAATCATTGACAATTCAATTCTAATCTGGCAGTCCTCGCAGACATGTGCCATCGCCCAATAACTTTAGACAACGAAGCCAGACTGAATGACCCGTCCCTCAACCTGAGAACCCTGGACCTCAACCTGACCTCTATCATAGCTTCACGGACAGAGGTTCTTCCGCATGATATCAGCGCTGTCATTTACTGGAGGCGGCCTAATCACATGAACTGAACCCCCGGCAACATATGATAGCGGCTTTGCCCGGCCATTGGGGATTGTGTGGTTTTCATGGACAGCCGATGGGGGAGGCTTTGTTTCGATTTGACAGACGACAGCCCCAAGGTTTCCCGCGATCCGATAATCATAAGCTTCCTCAAGTCCTTAGCCTAATAAGTAAGCTTCCTTCTAAGTTTTGGATTTTGAATAGGCAAGACCTGACAGTTTGGAGGTTGGTCTACCCTGCACCCTCTGTGTGCCAGGCGAGCTGGTGTTGAAGTGCTTCGTTTCTCTGAGTTCGGAGCCCGGAACCCTAGCTCTCGAGCCTTGCCGGGGCTTGCGAATGCTGGTTATTGAGTGTCGTCTCGTGCAACGACAAGGCCAAGGAATGGTGGTTCAGAAAGTTCAGCGATCGCGATTGCAAGTTAAAGTGATTGGTCGTTGTTCGGGCTCGGGTGTGGGGCTGAAGCTGTGCCTTCTGGGGCCTTGTTGGTTCCTCCTTTGAGACTAGTCAAGACTTTAAAGTTAGTCGGGATTGAATTTCGGTCGAAGCCGTCAAAAAATCGGTGAGGCTTGTCCCCGTCTGTTGTTCAAGGGTTCCTGGTTCAGAATGGCTCGTAAGTTTCTCGCCTAGCAGCTCCGGGTTTAGGAATGCCGTTTCGAGTCAATCCACTCGCCGGGAAGGCAGGCTAAGGTCCTGAAGGCTGTGAACCACATAGGAAACATACACAAATCAATGATTGTCCCACAGCGGTGCTTCAGGCGATTGGCGGCTTTCGGCAGCTTCAGGCCAGGCCACCAGAAATCAACCCAGGACATTGTGTTCCTCGAGGGCCTGTCTTGGGGTCCTTGTTGTTCGACGGGTGCCTCTGCTATGTACGAAGAAGTTGCCGTCCGAGTGTGAGTCCGTACCCTAGATCAAATTTCAAATGTTCGGTCTTGATGCTTAGCATGTCTAGTATTATCTGTACGCTGAGTTTCAGTTCTCGTCGGGCGCTCTAGCATAGGCCTTGCCTCCTCGTACCCTCTTGATTTCACGCGGACAGCTGTACTGTAGGAAACAAAGGCACCGCGCCGAGTCGCCGAATTCTTGTTTAACTAACACTGACACCGGCCTCCACTTTTGTCCCCGTCCGGTTGATAACCGTCATGTCGTGCTGCTCACGCTACAAAGGACGGCAAGTGGGTGGTGGTGACAGCACTGCGTGAAGTGCTGCAGGGAGGGACCCGGGAGGGATGGGCAGGTGCGGGCGGGAGTGAGAGCCGGAGGTAGGTGGCGAAAAGCCAGCGCGTGTAGAGGGGCGGGGGGAGGACGGGGAGAGGAGGAGGTCTGTCTGTGGAGTGCTGATGGCACGGAGGGGACGTCGGTGGATGTCAAGGCTCCAGTGGTGACGCGGGTTCCGAAGATGTATGAGGGAACCGAGCAATCAATCAGTGGATAACCCTTAGGCCCGACAAAATGAAGGGCCTGGCGATAAGTGCTTTTGTGCCCCAAGTTCATTGTATTTTTGATGCTCATTGGTGCCAGGCTGATTGTGCTTCGGTTGCAACTTGCTGATTGGACTGGAATGCGGCAAGGGCCCCAGAAGACTTCAACTCAATAATTGATTCTGCGTCTGTCACGGGTCATGAACATTTTGTGCCCTGCAGCGCCCTGCAAAGACCCATTAGATTTCCGACACAGACAGCTGAGTTCACTCAGGCATTGCATTGAAATCGTACCATATGCCGGAAGCTCTTCATTGCTCAAATTACGCTGGCTACTGTAGTGCCACAGGCCGCGGTAGACATGGGCAAGGGTGGTGGTGCCAGCGGACGGACTCGGGCAGCGGGTGGCAAGAAGGGCGTTCAAAAGGATGATGACCTGAAGGATACCATGCACAAGCTAGCAGTTGAAACCACAAGTAAGCTCGACGGGGGTGCCGAAGAGCGCCTGATGGACTGGGTGAAAACTCACCCAAAGGGTGCCAACTACTTGTGGCAGCAGGTGTCGCTTGGTGCTTTCAACTACCTCGACGACCCCAGCAGTGGACAGGCCAAGGACGATGCTCGTCTTCCCGGCTGGTTGAACAAATTCAATCTCTTGGATGTGCCCCGGGTCGTCCCCATGCTTCAGTCTCTCATGCCAAAGGCTGCAGAATGGCTTGGCAATGTGAAAAAGGGCAAGAAGGCGAAATGGTCTCAGGTGCTGTGTTTCATACTTCACACGGAGGCAACCTCGGCCCTTCCGACGAAGCGTGTGGACGCGTTGAATGAGTGGGTGCAGAAGAGGCATGAATCCTGCGGCCACCGATTGAAGGATTGGGAGCCGCCGCGGCCCAACTACAGCTTGGATGTGCCTTGTTTGGACATGTCAAAGTTTCTATCAGTGGCCAGTGGACTCGTTAATTAATGTAAATTAGGGCTTTCAATGGCTTTCAAATGACAAAGAAAAGTTAACATCGTGATCGCACGCTTGAAGTTGATTTGTTGATTGGGGAGTAGGGGAGCAGCTAATAAGCTAGGCGGGAAGTCATTTCAGGGTAGACTCAATTCGAAGGGTTCAGCGTTACTGTCATCTTCAATTCAACCTCCCAGGATCTGCTCAACGACGAGTGCATCTTCTGGAGCCTGAAGAAGGGCTCGGGCGACTCCAGCATCAAGCTGCACTTCATGGATGAGCGGAGCTACTCCCTTCCGCCTGAGATCCCGGAGACGGCTACGCTGCAGAATGGTGGTTCTGCGCAGAGGGCTACGATTGTCCATGGCGTGTTCGAGATTGGTGTGCAGAAAGTGCTCAGCCACGAATGCAACAATGGAAGCGAGCCAGTGACGGAGTTGTTTTGGTTGGAGTCCGTGCCAACAGATGCTGCCGCTCCCGAGAAGCCGGTGTTCACGACTCCGACAAAGAGCACTCAGGGCACCGGTGCTGACAGCGAGAAAGGCACTCCGACTCCGGCCAGCACTCCGACTCCGGTCACACCTCCACCTCCACCTCCCGGCTTCGGCAGCTCGTTGGGCCTCTTGGCGGGAGCGGAGAAGAAGATCCGAGCTTTGCAACAGGGCCAATCGATGGATCCGGTGGTGCGGGAGCTGGAAACGCATCTGCGAGGTGCCGCCTCTAGCTGAAGGGGCGTCTGACAGGTCTCATCAACCGAGATTTTTTTGCAGAAGGAGGGGCCGAACAGCCTTGTACCTACAACTGTCAATTCCGAATGCCTGTTTTATTTACATGACATGCTTCCAGGCGGAGCCTATCCTATCTGCAGGGGTGTACGAACCCAGCAAAATGCTGGGCATGGGGCAGTGGGATTTGCAGTCACTGTGCAAAGTGCCTGCTCGCAGAGAGCCGCGAAGACGAAAACAATCCAATTTGCCTGCCTCCCGACTTGCACACTGCTGCAATCTTCAGCTTGCTAGTTGAGCTTCGATAGTTCTGAAACATGATGCGCTACTCAGGCTGGGACTTGCTCTGCAGGCGCATGGTGCGTAGTCGACGACTCAGGGGCCCAATCACTGAGCTGCATTTGTATCTCCTCGACCCATGATTCAGTCAGACAAATCCTTGCTTCAGCCCTGAACCCTATACCCTGAACCTAAAGCCTCATAGCTTAAGCCTCGGTGGGGTTCCGAGAGATTCGATGCATTTACCACTTCATCTGTGCTTGCCAGGCTTGCGGCAGTGAGTGACAGTGAGCTTGCACGGAGATTTCGAGTGGCCATGCGTGTATTTCCGTCATTGCCTGATCCTTCACGAGTGCTTCCTGCGCATTGGCCGCCCGTTCCGTGGTGGATTTCTAGGTCGAGCTTCCGACAATTGC